GATCCGCCGCCGCGGCCGTGGCTCAGGCCATTGTAATCCCAGCACTTTGGAGGCCGAGACGGGCGGATCACAAGTCAGGAGATCGAGACCATCCTGGCTAACACGGTGAAAACCCCGCCTCTACTAACAAAATACAAAAAATTAGCCGGGCGAGGTGGCAGGCCCTGTAGTCCAGCTATTCGGGAGGCTGGCAGGAGAATGGCGTAAACCCGGGAGCAGGGAGCTTGCAGTGAGCTGAGATCCGGCCACTGCACTCCAGCCTGGGCGACAGAGGGAGACTCCATCTCAAAAAAAAAAAAAAAAAAAAAAAAAGTTATGTGTCTGTTCATATCCTTTGCCCACTTTTTGATGGGGTTGTTTGTTTTTTTCTTGTAAATTTGTTTGAGTTCTTTGTATATTCTGGATATTAGCCATTTGTCAGATGGATAGATTGCAAAATTTTTCTCCCATTCTGTAGGTTGCCTGTTTCTTTTTGTCATGGAAGATCCTTGTTCGGTAAAGTGTCTCTTGAAGTCTTACTAAATTACTTATGGAGTTGATTTTATTACTTGGATAATAATCAGTGCTTTCTCTTTATAGTATCCATCAAACAGGAGTTTCACATTTTAAGGTAGTCAAATGTATTTAATTTTTCTTTATGACTTGTACGTTTGGTAATTTGTACATTATGAGACTTATTCAAGAAAGCTGCCTTTCTTAAAATAAAAAATATATTATCCTGTACTTCATTCTAAGTCTTACAGTTTTATCACTCTCTATCTTTAATTCACTTGTAATTAATTTTTGTGTATGGTGTGAGGTAGGGGGTCCAATGCCATATTTGCCGTATAAATAACCAATTGTGTGAACACCACTTATGGAAAATTACTTCCTTTCCCCTGTGATTTGTAATGCGTTTTCTGTCACAAATCCAGCCCCATATATGTATGTGAGTCTGCTCCTGGCCTCCCTAGTCTGATCTTACTTGTCTGCTTGATAGTCAGTCTGAGTTTCCCTGCACAAGTGCTAGATTGGCTTCATTATCATGGCTTTATGACAATTCTTGCTATTTGATAAGATCTGACAAGTCCACTGCTTTGTTCATCATCTTCAGTACTGTCTGGGATATTATTGGCCTTTTGCTCTTCCATATACATTTTAGAATCAAATAGTATTCTAAAATGAGGGGAATTTCTACTTCTCAGGATGTTGTGAGGATTTAATCAAATGATGTATAGAAAGTGTCTACCATAATTCATAGGTACTTGGTAAAAGGCTGGGGAAATAAGCTGGTGGTGTCACCTTGGGAAAGGTATTCTGCTCTCTGGGCCTGCTCTGCATCTGTGGCATGGTCTGACAGTGGTTCCTCTCGCTACACCACAGAGTTGATGTGGGAGTATGGGTGAGAGAAGAGATGTGAGAACAGTTTTCAAAGCATAAGTTGAACTTTGTATTGGTCCCACAGGGATTATCAAGCAGTTATCAATATGATTACAAAGTCCTCGGATGAATGAGAATTGACACTGGGGCCTCACCAAATACTGTGTAAACTCAGGCAATTTTCATGGTCACATTCTTTTTAAGAAATGTTTCTAGACCATGTGCAGTGGCTCAGCCTTGTAATCCCAGCACTTTGGGAGGCCAAGGGGGGAGAATGGCTTGAGCTTAGGAGTTTAAGACCAGCCTAGGCAACATAGCCAGACCCCTGCCTCTACAAAAAAATCAAAATAACCGGGTATAGTGGCATACACCTGTGGTCCCACCTACTCAGGAGGCTGAGATGGGAGGATCACTTGAGCCTGGGAGGTCAATGCTTCAATGAGCTGTGATCACACCGCTGCACTGCAGCCTGGGCTACAGAGTGAGACCCTGTCTCAAAAAAAATAATTTTTTTTTTTTTTTTAGTTTTTTGAGTACCGTGAAGGCCTTTACCTGCTAGAGTGCAGTGCTGTGATCTTGACTCACTGCAACCTCTGCCTCCTGGGTTCAAGCAATTCTTTTGCCTCAGCCTCCTGAGTAGCTAGGCTTACAGGTGCCTACCACCATACCCAGCAAATTTTTGTATTTTTAGTAGAGACGGGGTTTCACCATGTTGGCCAGGCTGCCCTCAAGTGATTTGCCCACCTCAGCCTCCCAAAGTGCTGGGATTACAGGCCTGAGCCACTGTGCTCAGGCTACCTGCACATGTTTCTTATTCCAGTGACACACACGTGCTTAGCTCACTGAAACGGTTGCCAATAGTTGCTTCCTGGGTCTTGAACTATAAAGATAGGAATTTTGATACAAAATCAAATATTGTGGTACAATTGACTTTGCCTCCCAACTTCCAGCTGCCCTTGAGATGCTTCCAAGCTCACCCAGCAGCCTGTGGTTCCAACACTCATCACTGAACACCCCTCCCTCACCTGGACTGTCTGTTCCTCTGGGCAGCAGGTGGACCTTTGCTTCTGGTCCGCAGAGCTCTTGGAAGACATCATTGTACTCACTTCTCTTGCAGGATCCCACCCAGTCCTGAGACAACCCTGGGAGGCAAGTGGGGACTGGAAAGGCAGGACACTGTTTTGTTAGTTAGAAGGACTTGTATTCCAAATCCAGCTCTTGCCCTTCTGGGCTCTGTGACTAGGGGCATATGATGTCTACCATCTGCAATTTCCTTCATGAAAAATGGGGATGGTACTACTTAATCTTCTGCAAGGATGCCTGTCAGACACTTGGCATGGGAGCTAGTGTGTACTAGGTCATCGTTTTGGCCAAACACACTCAGTAAATGATGATTGAGTAACTGAGACAGGGCAAAGTGTGGGGTGTGTTTGGGTGGTGAAGCTAAGTAATGGTTCATTGTGGGGGTGGTGTGGATATGTGGATGTGTGTACATGGGGCATTCATAGTTGGAAGTGATGCTGGGAGTGACTATTAAGGTCAGATTTTGGGAACTTTGAATGTTAGACTTACAAAGTTGGACTTTATTCTGGTGGTGTTTGATTCAGCTTAACTCGCTTTACTAAAACATTTTCACTTGCTTCCCAGCCCAGACTGTGGGCACTGTGCTAATGATGCCTGTGGCCAGGTTCAAGGACCTTGGGAATGACCTTCAATTCTGTCTCCCACTCCTGATGCTCCAGGTTTCCCTTGGGATTTTACACCTGCTGCTTTATGCCTGAATTATTTTTCACATGGACTCCTCATTGCTTACTCTGCCTGGATTTTTATTTTCGTCACCCTTGAATGGTTCTTTTAGTTTTTATCCACAAAAACCTATGGGCATACTGTGCTCTTTGCAAATTCACTGTCTCCCTGGACCTGCCCTTCCAGCACTGGGGTCTCCTTGTTGCCTGGGAGGACAAGTGGAGAGTCATCATCAGGGAGCCAGTGAAGAATTCTCCAGCAGGTAAATGACTCAGTCAGACCAGGCGGTCACCTTGGGTGAATTGGAGACGTGAATTGTCTCTCCAGGCTGCTAGGAAGAAATGAATCAGCTGTAGTGACTGGTATGGGTAAGTGGGAAGTGCCTATGTGGAAGGTTCATTGTGTTAAACATGTGGTGTGTGGAGGGAGAAATACCCTAGCCATTGAGCGTGGTTTGACCTGCCTGGTCCTGCTGGCCGCTAGAATCTTACCTGCTCTTTTCTAGGGGTCTACCTGACCCAGATATCATAACATCTAGAGACAGCGATAGATCCATTTTTGTGGTGCCTGTAGCTTGTGCAGTTTGGGAGATCCTCTTTAAAAAAAGAACATAGAATAACAAATTAAATAAATGAGTACAAAAGTGAGCATTTATCCTGAATGAGACAAGAAACCACTGCAAATTATAAATCTTTTAAAAATCTGAAAAGCACAACAAACACTTCAAAACCCAGAAAAATAATATACTTTAATTAATTAATTATCCTACAACTATTATAATACCCATTTCTTATATTCTTTTGCTGCATCCCATGTAATTTTGTAGTATTTTCTATCGGAAAATAAACAATTGTTTTCTTTTTCTTTCCTTTTTTTTTTTTTTTTTTTTTTGAGATAGAGTCTCGCCCTGTCATCCAGGCTGGAGTGCAGTGGCGTGATGTTGGCTCACTGCAAGCTCTGCCTCCCAGGTCCATGCCATTCTCCTGCCTCAGCCTCTCAAGTAGCTGAGACTACAGGTGTCTGCCACCATGCCCGGCTAATTTTTTGTACTTTTAGTAGAGGTGGAGTTTCACCATGTTAGCCAGGATGGTCTTGATCTGACCTTGTGATCTGCCCGCCTTGACTTCCAAAAGTGTTGGGATTACAGGCGTGAGCCACTGTGCCCAGCTTTCTTTTTCTTTTTTGGACAGAATCTTACTCTGTTGCCCAGGCTGGAGTACAATGGCACAATCTCGACTCACTGCAACCTCTGCCTCCCAGGTTCAAGTGATTCTCCTGCCTCAGCCTCTCAAATAACTGAGACTGCAGGTGCACGCCACCATGCCCAGCTAATTTTTTGTATAGAGACGGGGTTTTGCCATGTTGGCCAGACTGGCCTCAAGTGATCTACCTGCCTTGGCCTTCCAAAATGCTGGGATTACAGTTGTGAGCCACCACACCTGGCCAGATAATTGTTTTCTATAATATAATTGATCAAACTTTGGGCTTTATTTTTCTGGGTTTAGAAAAAAACTTCTTTTTTTTTTTTTTTTTTTTTTGAGACAGAGTTTCACTCTTGTTGCCCAGGCTGGAGTACAGTGGTGTGAACTAGGCTTGCTGCAACCTCCGCCTCTCAAGTTCAAGCAATTCTCCTGCCTTAGCCTCTTGAGTAGCTGGGATTACAGGCACCCACAACCACACCCGGCTAATTTTTTATATTTTTAGTAGAGACAGAGTTTCACCGCCAGGCTGGTCTCAAACTCCTGACTTCGGGTAATCACCCTGCCTCGGCGTCCCGAAGTGCTGGAATTACAGGCATGAGCCACCTCGCCCAGCCAAAAAGTTTCTTTAAGCTTTAGAACTCAATTAGGAAAGTTAGGTAAATTTTTAGGATTGTGGTCAAACCTGGGAAAATCTCTAATTTCTTTTCTCTACTACTTTAGATATATTGATTATTGGTGTTACTAACCCAGATTTGTGTCCTATAAACAGGGGAATTCTGATGAATTTTATTTCATGTAACTTCTATCAAAAATGAAAAAAGGATATGATGTGTTTGTAATTGTATATGCTGTATTATTTAGAATATTCTGGGAGTTTTTTTGTTTTTTTGTTTTGTTTTGTTTTTTCCCTGAGATGAAGTCTCACTCTGTCGCCCAGGCTGGAATGCAGTGGCACCATCTCAGCTCACTGCCTCTGCCACCCGGCTTCAAGTGATTCTCCTGCCTCAGCCTCCTGAGTAGCTGTGATTACAGACATGAACCACTGCGCCCAGCTAGAATATTCTTGATGTAAAATTTTAACTAGGCGTCAGTGAGAACCTGCTTACAGTCTTTCACATGTGCTAACTGGGAGATGTTCCCACAGGCCAGCTTCTGGCTCTGTATATTTCAAACCTTGCTTCTGTTGCGCTACCCACATACTTCTGATGTTGAACACTTGTGTACACTGTAATACAGCCACACCATGAGGGGAGTTGGCACTGTGGCCAATAGGGAGAGTTCCACCTGCACGCCTCCACCAGGATGGATTTTAATAACCCAGTGTATCCAGAAGGGACTCTAAATCACATAGTATATTTCAGTAAACCCAAATGTAACGTAACTGGAAAAAAGAGGTAGTCTAACACAAGGAAAATGTGATGGAGGGGAAGTTGAAGTAGAAGAAAGAGGACAGTCTTGCCTGATTGGGATTAAATTATCTTGCTTTTGAAAATGTTATCAAGACCCATGACTATGCCAGCAATTCCCTGGAGGTTCCCAGGGCCCTAGAAGAGGCAAGACAAGTGAGAGACCCTAAATGTAAACTTCACGGTATGTATGTCTTCACTTAAAGGAATTCTTTAACTCAGAACTTTATAAAAATGACAGAATGACTGACTTATGCTCTTGAATGGGATCAGTTTAGAATCTGATCCTGTTAGTACTTTATAATCCCAGCTGGATTTTGCTGGAAACCTTTATGAAGGTAATGCTCATGAAAGGAACTACTCGTCAGAAAGTCTGTGGCTAGTTTGATTCCCACTGTGTCCTCAGCACAGAACCTGCCACATCATAAGCATTTACGGATGTCTGTTGAAGGAATATATTTGTTCCTGAGAGGATATTTCTGGTTTCCTGTGTGTCCCTGGCCTGCATCTCCTCTTCCGGGTATTTCGTGCTGATCTTGTCCTGGGCCTGCCTGATCTAGGAGGATGTTACTATATTAATCTATTCTCATGCTGCTGTAAGGACTTACTCAAGGCTAGGTAATTTATAAAGGTAAGAGGGTTAATGGACTCACAGTTCCACATGGCTGGGTAGGCCTCACAATCATGGTGGAAGGTGAATGAAGAACAGTCATGTCTTACATGGTGGCAAGCAAGAGAGCGTATGTAGATGAACTCCCCTTTATAAAGCCATCAGATTTCATGATAGTCATTCACTATCACGAGAACAGCATAGGAAAAACCTGCCTCCATGATTAAATTGCCTCCCACTGGGACCTTCCCATGACACATGGGGATTACGGGAGCTACAGTTCAAGATGAGATTAGGGTGGGGACGTAGCCAAACCGTATCAGTTGCTTTTGGCATAAGAAGGACCTCTTTTCTAACCTATTTTTCACAGGTAACTTTAAATCTATAACTTCCATTCTTTTGCTGAGAAGGCTCTGTTTTCACTACTACCTTGGGAGCCAGTTTTGTTACTATATCAGAGGTTTGTTTTTAATGAACAGAAAATGACTTTTCTTTCCCTTTTCCGTGCCATTTCTCTTTTTAATCCAACCTGAGAGCTGAGTGATCTTATTTCCCTCCCATTTGAGGGCTGAGTATCCAGCTGGCTGTCTGTTGGTCCTGCTCATATTCTGATGATGGGGGTCATTTTGCTAAACCCCAGCTCCTGATGGCTGAATAAGTCACTTCCAGATTGACATCCAAATGACATATATGTGATGAGATAAAACTTTGAAATAGTAATCTTGGAGCTTTCCTTTTTGCCATCTCCCATACTACCTGGCCTTTTCCTTTTAGACATGGGCATCCAAACGTCTCCAGATGAGGGTTATTACAGCAATAACGGAAAGAGAACGAAACCATATCTGCTTCTTTTTTTTTTTTTGAGATGGAGTCTCGCTCTGTCGCCCAGGCTGGAGTGAAGTGGCGGATCTCAGCTCACTGCAAGCTCCGCCTCCTGGGTTCACGCCATTCTCCGGCCTCAGCCTCCCGAGTAGCTGGGACTACAGGCGCCCGCCACCTCGCCCGGCTAGTTTTTTGTATTTCTTAATAGAGACGGGGTTTCACCGTGTTAGCCAGGATGGTCTCGATCTCCTGACCTCGTGATCCGCCCGTCTCGGCCTCCCAAAGTGCTGGGATTACAGGCTTGAGCCACCGCGCCCGGCTGCTTCTTTTATTATTACTTCCAAACTAGGGTCTTGCAAATCGTCTTTCTAGGCAATAGAAGGAGAGATGACACCTAGACGAAGGGCACTGGGCAGAAGGGAAGAAAGAGGAGTGGGCAGAGCAACACAGGCATTATCTGGGAGACCTCACAGTACAGGTGACACCAGGTCTTGGTGACACACTGCCCTGTCTGAATGTGTGAGGAACTAGCGCCTTGACCCTGAGAAAACCACACACACATCTCAACTTTGGTTTAAAATGTGGAATATAACAAACACATACAGAAGAACACAGTGTATCAATGTAGAGCAAAATAAATACATTTGGAGTGAGCACCTGTGTGCCCATCACCCATGCAAGAGCTAGAACATCGGGATGGCCCCAGCAGCCCCCTGGGTGTTCTCTCCCTGGTCACACCCCCTTCCCTATCTCCTGAAAGTAACCACATCCATGGTTACTTTTTGCGGTAAAAATTTTATGGTAAACAGTTCCTTGTTTATTTATAGTTCTACCACCTGTGTGTGTGTGTGCCCGTGCACCGCACGCTCGTGGTGTGCGTATATACACAATGTAGCTTTTTTTTGCCTGACTAAACATTATATTAAAGGAATCATACTATCTATGCACTTCAAGTCTTTTTTCCCACTCAGTATGCTTTTCAAATTCATCTGTTCTATTGCATTTCACAGGGTTTCATTAATGTTCATCGTTAAATGGAAGTGCATTGTATAAATGCATGACATCGTTAATCCATTCCATTGTTTGTGGATATTTTTGTTGTTCTCAGTTTTTTAATTACAGAAAATACACCTATGAACATTCTTACACTGGGTCTTGTATATATATGCAAATATTTTTTAATTTTTAAATTAAATTAAAGTTCAATTTTTTATTGAACACGTTATAAAAGAGGTTTACTCAAAAACCAAAGCCCATGTCATCATCAGACTCCTTGGATTCTTCTTTCTTTGCTTCCACTTTCTTCCTCAGCTGGAGCAGCACCAGCTGCTGGAGCAGGTCCACCAGCTCCTACACTGCAGATGAGGCTCCCAGTGTTGACGTTGTCCAGGGCCTTTGCAAACAAGTCAGGCCAAAAAGGTTCAACATTTACACTGCCTGCTTTAATGAGGGCATTGACATTATCCTCTGTGACGGTCACCTCATCACTGTGCAGAATGAGGTCCGAGGAGATGCAGGCGAGCTGGGAGATGGAGGCCATGGCGGAGGCGAGTGTGGGGCTGGCACTGCTGGGCGCGGTGCTAGTCGCCGGATGAAGTGAGGACCTCACCCTAATACAGCCTTAGCTTCCTCGGAAGGACTGAGCACCTTGATGGTAGCTGAGGAGAGGCAAGAATATTTTTTAGAGTATACATCCAGGAATGGAATTGCAGGGTTTTACATAAGACATGGGTTTTCAGCTGTCGCTGGTAATGCCAAATTGTTTTCCAAAGTGTTGTATGTGTTTACATTCCCACCAGCAGTGTGCGAGTGTTCTTCTTACCACATGCCCTCTCTAATACTTGTTCTTGTCAGACATTTTTTTTTTTTAATTTAATGGGAAAACAATATGTCATCATGGTAGCAAAATCTTGATAATGAATGAGACTGAAAATCTCCACATTTGTGTTTTTCCTTCTATGTAATATCTGTTATGGTCTTAGACTATGTTTTTTTTTTTTTTTAACTAGGTGATATGGTTAGGCTTTGTGTCCCCATCCAATCTCATTTTGAATTATAATCCCCACATGTCAAGGAAGAGACCAGGTGGAGGTAATTGAATCATGGGGGCAGTTTTCCCATGCTGCTCTCGTGATAGATTTTACAAGATCTGATGTTTTTATAAGGGGCTTCCCCCTTCACTTGGAACTTCTCCTTCTTGCCACCTTGCCAAGAAGCTGCCTTGCCTCCCCTTTGCCTTCCATCATGATTGTAAGTTTCCTGAAGCCTCCCCAGCCGTGCTGAACTGTGAGTCAATTAAACCTCTTGCTTTTATAAATTGGCCAGGCTTGGGCAGTTCATTATAGCAGTGTGAAAATGGACGAACACACTAGGTCGTCTATGTTATTGATATGAAGTTCTCTTTTTTTTTAATATTTTGGATAAAAGTCCTTTGTCGATTATATATACTACAATCTTCTCTCATTTCTTGGCTTATATTTTCCTTTTTTTTTTTCTTTTTTGACACAGTCTCACTCTGTTGCCCAGGTTGGAGTGTAATGGCATGATCATGGCTCACTGCAGCCTTAACTTCCTCGGGCTCAAGTGATCCTCCCATCTCAGCCTCTGGGTAGCTGGGACCTATAACCATCACGATCAGCTAATTCTTTTGTATTTTTTGTGGAGACGTGGTTTCACCATGCCGCCCAGGCAGAGTGTTTTCCTATTAATGATGCCCTTTGAACTGAAGTGTTTTAATATTTTCATATTTATCATTACAAGTAATGCTTTTAAAATCTCATTGAGAAACCTTTCCCTACCCAGAAGCTATAAAGACGTTCACCCATTTCATTTTTATTTATGTAACCTTCTTAACACATTAATTCTTTATCTTAGCCCAATTGTATTCCTCTGCCCTTTGCCTTTTGTTGTTACTGTTGTGAGGGCAGGTGCCAATTTCATTTTTCTCTCTTGTAAAGTAATCTCTTTTCTTTTTGGTTCACCTACTACAACATTTTGGCTGTATGTATGTATGAATATTTTCAAACATTAAAAAAAGTTAAAAGAACAGAACAGTGAACATGATAACACTTGTCCCAAGGTTTAGCCATTGTTAACAGTTTTTCCTGACTCTGCTTAAGACCTCTTTTTCTTTGATGTTCTCTGGTTTTATTATCATGTGTTTTGTTATTTATTTTCTTTAGTTTACCTGCTTGGGAGTCATTGAACTTCTGGAATCTTCTGGATTCGTATCTTTCTCCAATTCTGGAAAACCAATATCAATTTTCTATTTATTTATTTATTTATTTATTTATTGAGATGGAGTCTCTCTCTGTGGCCCAGACTTGAGTGCAGAGGCATGATCTCAGCTCCCTTCAACCCCTGCCTCCCAGGTTCAAGTGATTCCCTTGCCTCAACCTCCTGAGTAATTAGGATTACAGGTATCTGCTAATTTTTGCATTTTCAGTAGAGATGGGGTTTTGCCATTTTGGCCAGGATGTTCTCAACTGAACTCCTGACCTCGTGTGCTCCACCCACTCTGGCCTCCCAAAGTGCTAGGATTACAGGTGTGAGCCACTGCGCCTGGCCCCAATATCAGTTTTCTATTACTGCATAACAAACTGCCCCCAAACTTAGTGGCTGAAAACAATACACCATCTATTTTGTCATCTAAACAAGTCTGCAGTTTCGATAGGTGTCTGAGGGGACAGTGTGCCTCTGCTCCGTGTAGTGTAATCAGAGGCAGCTCAGGGAAGAACGACTAGGATGGCTCAGGGCTGGCAAACAGATGTTGATGTTGAGTGGTTTTCTCTGCCTGTTTTCTAAGAACAGCAGTTCAGAAGTTCAAAGATTTCTTTGTATTTTGTACTCTCACTGTCTCTTTCAGTCCAAACTGATGAAATTCCTTTAAAACTTTGTGGACTTCTTATGAATTAATTTATAAATTCACTCCATTAGACAAAAGCCATACCCACAGGTTTCATAGAGATCATCTCTACTTTGAGCTCCTTGTGAAATTTTCAGAAGCCCAGTTGTTTAACAGAGAAGGCCAGTGAGGCACAGTGTGAAGACCCTTAAAAGGGCCTTTGGTGTTTTTGAAAGGGTCTCTGGGGCACCACCTTAAATCTAACTGAGGTTTTTAACAAAGGTTTTAGAGTCAAATCCTTGGCTTCATCTTTACACCATATTCTTGTGACAGTGCTCTGAATTTGCTCTTTGCCTGAAAGTCATTCTTAATTAGAGAATCACATATATCATCTATAATAGAGAGACTGGAATGAGAAACATTCTTATTTCCAAACATAGTAAGTCCTGCCCCCTGATTTTTTTTAAACTAGACTTTATTATTTTTTTTAGAGCAGTTTTGGATTCAGAGCAAAATTAAATGGAAAATACAGAGTTCCCACATCCTCCTCCCTGACCACATATACACAACTTTCCCACCATCAACATCCCAATCAGTGTGGTGCATTTGCTACAGTTAATGAACCAACATTGACACATTATCAACCAAAGCTCATGTTTTACATTAGAGTTCACTCTTGGTGTTATACATTCTATGGGTCTTAAGTGTAGAGTAACACCCATTCACCATTATAGTACCAGAGACTAATTTCACTGCCCTAAGAATCCCCTGCGCTCCACCTATTCATCTCTTCCTCCTCCCAACCCCCGGCAACCATTCATCTTTTTACTGCTTCCACAGTTTTGCCTTTTCCAGAATGACATATAGTTGGAATCATATAGTATGTAGCCTTTTCAAGTTTGCTTCTTTCAATTAGCAATATGCATTTAAGATTCCATCATATCTTTTCACTGCTTGATGGCTCATTTCTTTTTACTGTTGAATAATAGCTATTGTATCTATGTACTGGTTTATTTGTCCATTTACCTTTTAAAGGACATCTCAGTTGCTTTCAAGTTTTGGCAATTATGAGTAAAGCTGCTATAAACATGCATGTGCAGGTTTTTGCATGGATGTTTTAATTCACTTGGGTAGCTTTTTTATATTTAAAAGTTATTCATTACTTTATCTTTCTGCTCTCTCATTTTTTATAGACTACTTGGAGAAACCAGATAGCAGCACTCTGCCTGGAAATTTTATTACCTAGATGATCAGTTCATTAGGTAAATAGGTACATTTTATTTATTTTTTATTCATACCATTTTACTTAGTTCTAATTTTTTTAATGTAAATTGTCAGTTTATAATTGTATATACTTATGGGGTACAGAGTAGTATTATGATTTATGAGTACAATGTGCAGAATTAAACCAAGCTAATGGTATATTTTCTATATTATATGTTACTACAGGTAATAATGTTGTTAAATTTTAAGTTACTGGACCTAAGAGTCTTTTTCCTACATTCCAATAAGCCTCTCTTGCATTTCTTTAAGTCCTCACCAGCAGCCTCTGCAAACCCTTTTGGCTTCCACTCACCATCTGGTCCCAAAGCCAATGTTACATTTTTAGGGTTTTGTGTTTTTTGTTTTTTGTTTTGTGTGTGTGTGTGTTTTTTTAATACAGCAACATCACACTCCTGGTATCACAACTTATTCCAGTTATCTACTGCTTCATAAAAAACTACCTAAATGTAGTGGCCTAAAACAACAATGATTTGTTTTGCTCATGAATTTGCAATTTGGGCGAGGCCCAGTGAGGATGCGTCTCTGCTCCTGTGGCGTCAGTTAGGGCGTTTTCTCACTCCTCTCCTAACGGAACTCCAGTCTGAGCATGTTTTAGTCCTTCTCACCCTCTTTTTCACATCTTTTAGCTTTTCTCTCTTTGTTTCTGCCCTGTGCTTTAGATCGTTTCTTGATATTCCAACTTACCTATTTTCCCTGTTGGATTTAATCTTCATTTAAACCCACCTATTCAGGGGGTGGGGGTGTGTGTGTGTATGTGTGTGTGTGTGTGTGTGTGTGTGTGTTTTGATATGAAGTCTCAGCTCACTGCAACTTTCGCCTCCTGGGTTCAAGCAATTCTCTTGCCTCAACCTCCCTGGTAGCTGAGACTATGCCTGGCTGATTTCCTTCCTTCCTTCCTTTCCTTCCTTCCTTCCTTCCTTTCTTCCTTCCTTCCTTCCTTCCTTCCAGACAGAGTCAGTCTGTCGCCCAGGCTGGAGTGCAGTGGCACAATACTGGCTCACTGCAACCTCCACCTCCTAGGTTCAAGAGATTCGCATGCCTCAGCCTCCAGAGTAGCTGGGATTCCAAATCTGAGCCACCATGCCCAGCTAATTTTTGTATTTTTAGAAGAGAGGAGTTTTCAGCAAGTTGGCCAGGCTGGTCTCAAACTCCTGACCTCAAGTGATCTGCCCTCCTTGGCCTCCCAAACTGCTGGGATTACAGGTGTGAGCCAGAGTGCCCGGCCCACATATTCTGTTTTTAACTTCAATTTTAACTTGCTTCTTTCAAAAATTCGTTTGACTTTTCTTTTTAATGGTTAGCCCTGCTAAAGCAAGACCTCAAAAAATTAATTAAAAAACTCTGAGGTGTTCCTCTCCATGGGAATCTTTAGTAAAAGGCAAAAGACTTATATGATCTGAAGAGAAACTAGAGCATTGTTTAACTTTTATCACAGTATAATTTGCAAACAATAAAATGCATATATTTTAAGTGAACAATTT